AAATAATATTATTTAAAGTTAAAATTTTAATTTTTTAATCAAAACTAATATATACTTTTTCTTTTTAAAAATATATATGTAACGAAAAAAATAAGTTTATATAGGAGGGAGTATATAGGCTTTTAAGTTTTGGGTTTGTTTTTTAATTTTAAAAATTTTAACTAAACAGGGTGTGGACTTTATTTTCATCATCATCATCATCAACATCATCATATAATATTATTATAATTATTATTATTTCGAGATTAAATTTTCATGGTGCTAAATAAATCCTTTAACTTTACAGAAATCTTATTCTACTCAATGGAATTCTTATCTGTTGCTGGAGGTGCCTTTCTGACTATCGCTTTCGAGAGGCTGTTTGACAAGCTAGAGTTCAGTAGGTCGCTCAATTTGCAAAAGCAAGTCCTTAATAAGTTGCGACACTGGGAGAGCTTATTGCCAATAATCTGTGCCTTCCTTGAAGATGCCGAAGAAAAGCAGATGTCTAATTCTAGCCACTTGGTAAAGAAATGGCTTGATAAAATGAGGGACTTGGCTTATGATATAGAAGACATCTTGGATGAATTCCAAGTTGAATCCCAGAAGAAAAGCAACTTCAATCCAAAACCTCACCAAGGAAGCACTAGCAAATTCATCCCCTCATTCATCAACTGTTTCCAACAGAGTGATTTGACCTTTGATTCCCAGACCATTTCTAAGGTGGATGACATCACCCTCAAATTGCAATACTTGGTAGATGAATCGAAGTTAATTGGCTTGGTAAGGCAAGTTGGAGATAAGCCTAGTGGAATGGCTACAAGAAGGTCACCCACTACTTCTCTACCTGAACTTTATGTTTGTGGCCGACAAACTGAAAAAACAGCTATTCTTGACAAGTTGCTCAATGATGAAGGTGGTTCCAAAGGATTTAGTGTTATTCCCATCCTTGGAATGGGAGGCATTGGCAAGACCACTTTAGCTCGACTTGTTTACAACGAGGTGACGACGCCACAAAACTTTGAGATTAAATCCTGGGTTTGTGTCTCTGATCAGTTTGATATTACAAGCATAACGAAAGCCATTCTAGAAGCAGTTGGGGGAAATTGTGCTTTGAATAATTTAGATTTGCTTCAACAAGAATTGAACAGCAAGTTATCTAACAAGAAGTTTTTGCTTGTACTGGATGACATTTGGAATGAGAACTACTCTCTGTGGGATAGTCTACGAAAACCATTCTTATCAGGAGCAGCTGGAAGCAAAATAATCATCACAACTCGCAAC